AGTCATTGACAGAGTGGTGGTTTTCTTCATCATGTTTCATTTCTTCTCCATCAGCCTCAACTATTCGCAAGACACCCAAAAAGCACGTCAAGAAAATAACCCCAGGTTAACTGTCTGACTTTCTAATGAAATTAAATAAATTAATTTTTCTCTAGGTACGGTGGAGATGAAGGATTTTCTCTCTCAGCCTGCAGCCATGCACAAGACGTGTCTTCCTCTGGAAGCTGGTTTCACATGGTGGCTTAGATTTTCCCACTTTGTATCTAGCACCATTTGAAATCAGTGTTCTAGGAGCAAGAATTACAGCGTGGGAGGGGACCAAGCAGCTGCTAACTCCACCGATGGCCTCTGCTCCTTAAAACAGCACTTTTTCCAATGTGTTTTGTGTGGGTTTTTTTGCTAGCCATCCACTCTGTAACATCATCCGATTTCTAGACATCTATACAACCACTGTATATACTCTCTAAAGCTAGGGCCACAACAAGAACAGCTTCCTTCCACTGTATTTCTACTTAATAAACAATGGATATTGAGTTCAAGTTGTCCAGAGTAAAGTGGTCCGAAAGTTGCATGAAAACCAATGCAGCACTTCTCATATCTTGACAGGAAGAGTACTCCTTCATTGTACAACCACTAGGACCCTGAGGTTTAATTTACTAACTTAGAGCAAATTTATTTCCACTCTGTGCTTGAGGACTCTATCACCACAGAATTACCATTCTGTTGCTCCCAGAGACTTGCTCTGCAGACACAGAAATTCCCTCCAACTTGATCTCAGCAGTTAAACACAGAAGTGCCTTCAGCAACCATGATGATGGTACACTGGTGCACACAGAATCCACTCCTTTTCCTAGAATTGTTTCTTAAGTCTGTTGCTGGTAACCTCTAGTAATGTTTCAGTTGACTTCTACACCCTTGCATCCAAACCACTATAACGAAGCTAAACTCTTTTTGCTCAACCTTGCTCTTGTCAAACATCATATCCAGAACAGACGCTCGCTGTGTGGATGAAGCATTTGATCAGGCCACTGCACAGTCATCTTAACAGAATGTGTAGCTGTCATCTACAAGAGGATTCTTCTCTGAGCCAGGAAAGTATCTCTTACACAGGCTGACCGATTTCTCTTGGTGTTCAGAGTCTCAGTTTTTGTCTAGCACCATTTGAAATCGGTTATGATGTAGGGGGAAAAGCAGCAGTAATGGAAAACTTCATTCCCCCACCCCCCAAAGTCCTTAGAAACAAACACCAGCAAAAGCTCCACAAACACGTACGCTGTTCTCTGCCCTGAAGTTACACCTCCTGGCCGAACATCCTGCACCAAGGAGGACAGTCAGCACCACGTTCAACTAGGAGGGATGCTGACAGAGAAAGCAAAGCACCTGCTCAAAAACCTAAGACTCTTCAACTCAAGCAAGCCAGGGCCCGTGTGTGAGAGCACAGCCACCCAACCTTCTGACCAGCTCTGTGCCTTGTGCTGTTTGTTTGCCTTAACCTGTTATTCACTCAGATATTTTTTTTCTTTTAAATAAAATTGTGTGCTACTTGGTACCAGGCTCTGTCTCAGGTAGACAGATTACAGGTGACCCTGCTGGACAATACCTAACTGCTGCAAGTCTCTTGATTTCAGGCCTCAGCTCCACGTTCACCACCCTGTATGAACCACACTCAAAAGTGACCATTTAGACGGATTTTAAGTGCATCACAAGAAGCCTTTCAACCCCTGACACCTCATTCACACTTGACATTAAACCAGGTAATGCTGGACCCAAGTTTGTGGCTCCCACTGTGAGAACATGACTTGTTTTACCAGCAGATGGCAACAACAGTGTTACTGCAGCCAGCGTTTTGCTTAGCACAAAGTGCATGACTCAATTACCAGCTCCAGATTCTAATACGAAATCATTCAGATGGGACTGAGTTTTACAAAAATGGTGCAGAATTCATTACAATTGGGACAAATTAATTTGCAGTGTTTCAGTCAAACTGCCTGGTAGCTGCCTATCCCAGCAATGCTCACTGACATCCCAAAACTTCAGACTGCCAAGCTGTGCAGTCTATGTGCTGCCATCATTTTTAGTCCACAGTATCACAAGCACAAACTAAAAAAAAAAAAATACACTGTATTAGTTATTTTTCTATTCCACCCCCTAAAAGGCTTCATTCTTTAAGGCAGCTGACTCCACACATTTCTTCACAAAGAAAGTTAAGTACGTTTTGAGTGTGAACCTCATACAATTAAAAATAATCACACCCTACTTAGCATTTTTCTTTAAAACGCCCAAGCTCTATTCCTTAGGGATTTAATTTGTCACACACTGGACAAAAGTGCCAGAACAGTCTCTGGGCTTTGCTCTTGACTTGGTGTTACCTCCAAACAGCCACATAATAGTCTGCCTGTTCTCTATCAGTTTTACCAGTTTCTCAGGAATGAACACCAAAAGGATTTGGAGGTTCCAGGATCTCTGAACTTCCAATAGAAAACCAAAAGGCTATGGGACTGCTCAGCAATTAACACACATTCTCTACACTGCCATGGAGTCATTCTATGCACAAAGTACCATCCCTACAGTTACCAGCTAATGCAAATAGGGTACAGGAAAAATCATCCTAAGAATAAAAGGGAAAAGAGCTGCTTCCCACACGACGAATGAAAGACAAACACTTACTGCTAAATAATTTAAGGTTTTTATTTGTAACATTACAAGTCATCACTAGTCTTTACATCCGGAAAAAAAGTATAAAAATAAGGCCATTTTTTACAGTTATTTCACTTAAGCACTACGTGCATTTCAGCATATTTCAGAGCACTGAAGATGCCACACACAATCAGGCTAGTGACCAACACGCTCAATTCCCAGTGTGTTATCATAGTACGTACAAACAATTATCAAATCACATATCAGCCAGGCAATGAACAGGAAGCCATTCTGTGTGGCCAAACCCCCTTTTTAATAACCAAATACTACTATGAACACTGACAATACAACTGCTGGGACTGTCCCAAAAAGCCCTATAAAGCCCTGAACAGTTCTGTTACTCAATCTGCTCATGACAGTGGGGAGCAGTGCCAATCCACCACAGACAAGCCAGAGCTTAAAAGCTGCTTCAGCCTTCTAAAGTGAGGCAATTGGGTTTTTCTGGGACAACTGGTTCCTACAGGCTGCCTGCATGTTGGCAGCAAACTCAGAGATTCACAAAGTCAAAACCTTTCCTAATTAAGCTTTTAGCTTAAATAAGGAATTAGAAATAGAAAATATGCCTTTAAAGTAACTGCTATCAATGCACATCTGAGTCTCAACTCACAGCAAATTCTGTGATGGGAGGTCCTGGCAACACAGGCTTGACTAAAATGCTTGATGAAGCAAGCATATACCTGAAGAGAGACCACATCTACTCTCACTTCCAGCACACCTACTCCTTCATTCCTGCAGCTAAGCTGGTCTGGTCTTCCTTTAACAAGGAAAGAGAAGGGAGTCAGCCAGGGAAAGGCTGTTTCTCAACCCTATCAGGTGCTCAGTCTAGCATTACAGAGCCAGACCTAGCATCAGTGTCTGTACACAGATTTGCAATGCTGTATGTGGAAGAGATTATTTCAAAGTAAAAAAAGCAAGGAAGCTAGACCCATACAGCGTCCTCTCTATCCTCAAGAGCAACAAAATTTTATCCAAAACTGACATCAAGGCTCAACAAAACAAACAAGTATCCTAGGGAATTTATCTCTCCTGACAGGAGATGGGTACCACTGATTTCTCAACAGTTCATTTAATTAGGCACCTTCTGCTGACAGGCCACCAAATTTAAAGACAGGGAATACCTTTGCTATAGGGACTTCCAGTTCTCCATTCCATCAAATCCTCTGTAATCTTTCTGGGACTATATCCAAGAGCCAAAAAAATAGATGGCTTTTTTTTTCCTTCATAAAGGCAATGGAAAAGCTATAAAACTCTGATTTAAAGGCACAACTCATCAGATATACCATAACCAACTTTGGCAAACAAAGAGGTAGTATACCTAAGATCTAAACTAACAGTTTCATAAAGACACAGCAGCAATGGAACCAACCTCTTAAGGAAATGAACAGTAAAACATTTCAGAATACAAGAGATCATCATGTTCACTGCCTCAATCGCAACAAGGAACAAGAAGCACATTCAGGTTTTAAGTGAGAACAACTGACATTGATTGGACAGTCTTCTGGAAGAAAAGAGGCAGCACTGAAGGCAGCAGCAGCAGGTGCTGTGACAGTGACATGACCAGTACTGCTGACACAGATACTCCTGCAGACTACAAGTAAGTGCCTTTAAGACTATTCCACATACACAGAAAAGACAGTATGAGCAGCCTATTAGATAAAGCAGATACATCTTTTTTTTTCCTTCATAAAGGCAATGGAAAAGCTATAAAACTCTGATTTAAAGGCACAACTCATCAGATATACCATAACCAACTTTGGCAAACAAAGAGGTAGTATACCTAAGATCTAAACTAACAGTTTCATAAAGACACAGCAGCAATGGAACCAACCTCTTAAGGAAATGAACAGTAAAACATTTCAGAATACAAGAGATCATCATGTTCACTGCCTCAATCGCAACAAGGAACAAGAAGCACATTCAGGTTTTAAGTGAGAACAACTGACATTGATTGGACAGTCTTCTGGAAGAAAAGAGGCAGCACTGAAGGCAGCAGCAGCAGGTGCTGTGACAGTGACATGACCAGTACTGCTGACACAGATACTCCTGCAGACTACAAGTAAGTGCCTTTAAGACTATTCCACATACACAGAAAAGACAGTATGAGCGGCCTATTAGATAAAGCAGATACATATATATATATATATTCTTTTTACCCTATCAATGAACTCCCTGACAGTTAATCAGTCATATAAGACATAGTACAAGATAATTAATCTACAGAAAGTCAAGGCAAGTGCAATAATATTCCAATTCTGATAGGTATATTCAACTGCAAATTCCCTCCCACCCCCAAAACAAGTCATTCATGCTTTACAGATCTTATATTCGGCAGTACAGGGAGTGCTGTCACGTTTCCTAAAACAAAAAAACAAGTCAAATCAGAGATTTTATATTTAAATGGCTTTTACATTTATACTGAAAGCACATCCTTAGTTTTATCATTAAATCAACAGGTAAAGTCATGAAACTAAACCATTACTTGTCCTCTTCTCACTAATCAACTCCCAGACTGAGGAGACTTTTCCTTCATTTCATCCACTGAACTGCTAAGAATGACCACAGAGCAGAAAAGCATTTGATCCAAAAGGATCTTCTCAAGTAATGAATGGCACGTGCCCAAGTATTAACAGAAACTGAGATCAGACAGAAGGGTTACAGGATTCTTAGCTAATTTGGAGACTACATCAGAAGCACCCCATATAAATTTATTTTACATACAGCATGTTGTTTAGCACATATTTTATAAGCAGAAGCTGAATATTCATTTGTGAGAAATTACTTTGCAACTATTAGCAGATTTACAGTAGTTAAACATATGAGCATTAAAATTCATTATTAAATCCATATCTATGTGTTTTCAAGTTCCTGAGTAACTCCTGTTTTGCTTTACAGAAAAAAACCCACATCAAACCTCTGAACTATTCCTCTAGGTCTCTATGGAGTTCCAGCTACTGCAGGAAAAACACAGCAGTTAATAGTGTGTGCACACATACCAGGGTATTAATTTCTCTTATCATTGTCCTGTGCAAAAGATTGGAAATAAGAACTTGGTTCTCGTCTCTCTCTTGATTTCTTTTTCCTCTCTCCAGAAATAAGCCAAACTAATCCTATTTCAATCAGAAACATCTTACTTCAGAGGTAAAGATGATATTCCTTAATCCATACATTATTCTGGAAGTAACTCCAAGCTCAATTTTTATATATGCCATCTCAAACTTATAAAAAACAAAATGAAAAATCACTTGCTCTTTAAAAAAAGACCATGCATTTGGAAAGACCTTTGCATTAAGCAAGGATAAGAGACCAAGTTTCATCCATTACCTTTTCAGTTTGTGCAATGGTGAAGAGCAACACGTGAAGATAAGGAAGAGTTTACAGAAGTATTTGTAGTGCAAACTTTAATTGTTAAGACAAAATGCTGGCAAGGAACAGGTAAACTAAGCTGTCTGGTCTTAAATCTGTCCTGTTGTAACAAGGTTTGAGCAGTGAGGTTTTTGAAAGAGCTTATTTGACCCTACAGAAGTGCAGGAGCAATTGTTGCTGCCATCAACGCACCCAAGTACTGGGCTAAGCACTATGTGAAAACACAGGAGAGGAAATCAGTTCCAAACAAACTCCTATGTTGACCCTAACAAAAGTAACACACCACTGGAATCCATTTCACCATACTGAAAGAGGTGCACGTGTTCTACTGAGAACATACAGTTTCTATTTTTAGAGAAAAATATATTCCACATTCTTTAAAAACAAGCCAAGATACATAACAGGGCAACCTCTGGGAGCCATCGTTTATGACACTGACTGACAATTCTCTATGGAATATATCCTATCATTCCAAAATAGTCTCTCCTACAGGAAACTGAGATTCTCAGTTAGCCAGGTTCTACACTTCTGAAATTCTAAGTGAACCACAATAATAATAATTTTTAAAAAGACATTTAAGCTCAGTTGCAAAAGTCCAAATGAAGTGGAAAGTTCTATACCTTGTTAAGATTCAATTAATTCATTTGTGCAGTTTCTTCCATCTCAGCTGGTACATTAGTTTTTAAAATACATGTTTCCTTGCAACTCTCATCAACTGTGTATGAGCTGAACAGTAGAAGGGGAAAAAGGTCTAATTGAATGTCCTATAAAACTGGCAGATTAAACACACAAGAAAGAGGGCAAGAACAGATTTTTTGCTGCAATTTGAAGACTACAAACCAGCAAGTATGAGGCACTGGCAGCACAACAGTTCACAGAGGTTCAACTGTATCAGGAGCTCAGAAAATTAAAGAGGGAGATCTAGGCCTTAATAAAAGGAGATTAGATGAGGTTTCTCAGACAAGAAAAAGATGTAATAGTCAGATACTCACAGCCAGGAAGCTTAAGCACTGGGCACATTAAGACTTCTCATGTTGTAGAATTCTCAGGAATACAACATCCTATAATTTTCAGTTATGTTGCTTTAGATCCCTCCTCCTTCCTACACCCTCCACAGACAAAAGCAAAAGTACTAGGGCAGCACTTTCTAACTCCCATGTACTCTTCCTTGGACCCTCCAGACTGCAGATTATCCAAGTCACAAATGAAAAGGAATTGCCCCAAAGCACTGAATTACTTTGCAGCACACAGGTACACAGCCACTCTGCTTACAAAGCCACTATGGTCTTTGTAACAACACTTTACTGCCTACATGGAAGATGCTAAGCCTAAATCCTCCCTGGGTATAAGCTAACTCCAAGGTTTTCCCAAATGGGACTGTGTGCACTTCATTACAAGTATGAATCACAGGAATATTTCCTCTGGTTTGCTTTACTTACAGCATCCCTTCCTTTGCTTCACATATCCCAGCTGAATTCCAACAGATTTTGTGAAAAGGTAATTTAGTTGTGATGAGCTGCTTATCAAACCATGCTATGTGTACCACCTGACTTACTCTGAATTTTCAGTACTTTCTATGTTACAAACTATTTCTACAACAAAACAGGCTTCTAACAAGAAGATAAAACACAACATCATTGCAAGAAGCAATGAGCAAAGAGGCATTTGAATCTCCTGCCACCTGTCCATGAGAAAGCACACACAGCAATGAGTTGTTGAGAAGATCAAGTTCAAAAGGCCCTACACATCTTATTAAAACCAGATCACTACTACTTATGTATCCAGTATTTTAGTTGATTTTGCAAGTCTTTAACATAGGGACACCTATCATTGCTGCTGCAGGAGATAAAACTTCAGTAGATCCACACATGAAACATCCCAGCAGCCAAGCTGACTATCAGCTTTTTCAAACAGCAGAGGAACAGATCTGACATCCATCTTTTCACATCTTCCTTGTAACTAAGCCCATTTTACTTTATCTAAGGTGCTGCTCATCCTAAACACAAGACTTAAGTGATGGTCCAGTTACTTCCCACTGCCAGTGGTGCATCTTACATAGAGGAAGCTCCTTAGGTCACCTCCAAGGCTTCCAAGGTCATGTAAACCATTCTGGATCTTAAAGCCTGTGAGATCTAGTGATGCCCAAGCGTATCCAAGCAATAAAGCACCACAAGCCCAAACTACCACTGGTTTTAAGAGGTAAACTGGCATGTTCTTAGAGCAGATGCAAACAGCACTTCCCTCGGCTAGTGAACTATGCCAAATGCAAGCCTAGGAACAGGGGTTTTCCCTTCTTTGAAATGAGTGCAAGTTAATCAGCAGCTTATCCAAACAGCAGACACAAAAAGTCAAACAGGTTGTTAGGCAGTTCAGCTCTGAGAAGCTCACATGTAACCATCAGGCATTTGAAAAAGAAAGGGCAGATAAAGCTCAAGAAACTCACATACATGTTAGCACTGCTTTTGCTCAGTCATGTACAACTTTGCCATAATAATAATAATAATAAAGTAGGCTTACTCACCCGTTTTGTGAAAAGAATTTCTTATAGGCCCAGAAGGCTGCCAGGAACACCACAACTGCCACGATCACTTTAAGAAGAATTTTTAAAAAAGCCTTAAGAGTGATAAAGACCACCTCTAGCTCTACAAAAACAAAGCCTCAAATTTGTAGCAGAAATAGCAGTCTGAATCCACAGTCGTACACAACTTTTCCTCCCCCCAAAAAAATCCCTTTAAAATTTGCATGGCTTATTTCATAAATAAGTACTTGATGCTTTACTCAAGATTTTTAAAGATAGTTCACCTGAACAACAGTGACCATCAAGACTTTACCACCCCACCAGCCCAAGTACCATTAAAACAGGTATACCAGCATCCCCATGACTTTTTACAAGTTTATAAGGAAGTGGTAAGATTACTGGCACAGTTAATTCATTCAAGCTTCCAGCAAAACTGAGCTCTGAAGTGTTTCTGAAAGTGACCAAGTTGTGGAATTCTGCCTTTGAAATCTGATGCATCACATACAGTAAAAAGTAAATATTTAACATGAAAAAGTAAATATTTATCAATAATTTAACCTATAATTGCTAAGCAATCTTTTCTTGAAATATGCACCTTTAGGAGCAGACAAGCATTTTTACTGTAACCAAAACTCCAAAATCATGTTATGTCATGATGACCAGAGTATCAATTCTATATTAAAGAAATGAAATCCACATCTTGTCTCATTCAGGTTTCATAAGATACTTACCACAGATGATGGCAATAACATAAGCACCTAAAACCAGAGGGAAACAGTATCACAAGAGGATCATAAATGATTTCTATACAAACATTATAAAAAATAATCACAAAGTCATTTCAAACTAATCAAGCAGTTCTATCAACACAGGCCAGTTAATATCCTAACATCTATTTAACTGAAAATATCTCTATTTTTAAACTGATTTTACCAAAACCTATATTTCTTAAGTCAAAATAAAGAACTTTGCATTGAATGATTTCTCCTGAATACAAAAGAATGTCCCATGTCTTTTCATTCATTTGGTACTTACTTAACTGGCAGGTTGGCACTCCAGGAACCCAGTGGTTTTCTCCAACATACTGAATTTGAGCTTCACCATGTAATGTGTAGCCTGCATAACATTCAATTTTAATAAAATCCCCAACAGAATATGAAGGTTTTTGTCCATCAATTACTCTACCAAAATCTATGTGTGGAGTGAAACCAGAACTCACAGGCCCACCTGGAAGGAGAGAGGAGAAAAAAATAAAGGAAATAAAGGCCAAGAACAGAGGTGGCACACGAAGCAGACTCAAGTTGTCCCCTCTGCCCTTGATTCTGCCAATTGTCAGTGTTACTCACATGTACAGTTTTCCAAATAACTCCATTTATCCAGTCCTTGACAAGTTGTTGTCACCTCTCCAGTGCCATCAGGGAAAGTGCAGCCAGCAATGCACTTGATCTGAACAGATTCTCCTCTTCTATACACAGATTCAGCTGGAATCACTGTCCCAGCTGTGATCTTTGGGGCACCACATCCATCTTCAGAAACTAATAAATTAATTTAAAAGTAAGTTTAGTGATAATAAACTTTAAATTTTTCATAATTCATTAACTCACTCCACAAATATAATTACTTTTCTATGAGAAAAAGAGATCAGCATATCTGAATAGTTAACTTTACCACAATTTTAAGTATAAACATTTCCTTTATGAGCCTTAAAAGAAATACCACTACAGGTATTGAGGTAATAGGATCTTATTATGTGGCAGCTAAGAAATTATTTATTTTTGTAAGGTCTAGAATAATTTCCAGGTGCCCCATCCAGTTCACTCATTAGGGAACACTTAAGCAGATTCTGTAATGATTTTGATTCCTCTAGACAAATGCTGTAGGTTTCCTCATTGTGGACAGATTTGCAACATTCTCAACATACAAGAGAAAGTTATTTTCTTATTTAAAGGCTTACTTCTCTCACAAGTTGGTTTTGGAGGAGACCAGGTGTTATCTTCTCCACAGGTAATGATGTCCGACCCGATCAGGAAAAACCCTGGATCACACTGAAACCTGACTGAGTCCCTGTAGCTGTAGGAAGATCCAAACCCAGATACTTTTTTTCCATTTTCAACTTTTGGGTTATCACATTTGACCACTGAAAGAGTTAAAAGAAAAACAGCTCTGAAACATTTGTTAACAGTCTCGTTGCAACAGACACAGCATCCTTATCTAACTGCTCAGATTGTTTTGGAGGGGTTTGGTGAACAGGTTCTTCTCTTGAAAGAGAAGGTCCTGGGCTTGAACTGTTGAGGTGTATCAGTACATGGATAAATAAGAAACTGTAATTACTGATATAATCACGTTCCACTTCCAAAGGCCATACTCCTGTACAGTGGCAGAATTTCAGACAACAAAGTAAAACTGCTTAGGGCTCAAATAACAAGATTCAAGTACCTGCTGCCCCTCCCTCCATCTGCAAAGCAAGACACGCTGCTTGCTGGGCTTTGCACTTATTTCTGCCCTTCACAGTAGCAGTGTTTAGATAAAGTGTTCTTCATTATCTCCTTACCACTTATCATCTACCTTCCATGTTCTTGCAGTTCACAATTCTTCTTCAGCTGCTCAGGTTTTATGGTCTTTCAGTTCCTTCACTTTGTCACTTTACCCAACATACAGATTTTTGAAGTTTTAACTTAGATTTTAGTCACATTCTGTGTCATGATCAATATCCATAACACAGTAGATCTGATCTCCACTGGAACTATCCCAAATCTAGTACCAGAGGATTCTTTTTCTTTTCTAGAGGGAGCTCCTTTCCCACCCCCAACCCTCCTGTCTCCTTCCAAAAAAAGGGACAGATCTTGACATTTTGGAGTCACAGAGGCTATAATAAAGAAGGCCATTAAAAATGCCAACAACCTTTGCATTGTGGAAGAGGTTCACTCCAAATTCCATTTAAGTTTTCATCAGAAGTGCAGAAAATAGTAGCTGAGCCAATCAGGGAGAAGGGATCTGAGCCTTTTGGCACCTGATCACAGGTGTAGGTCACTGCTGTCTCATACACGTAGTTGGCTGCTGCTGTGTAGTGCCCGTGGGGTATGTCTGGAGGTGGCCCACAAGGAATTCCTAGAAACAAACCACACCAATTAGTCAGCAGGATTTTGCTGTTACCTTTTTTGTCTCAGAGAAGGTGAGCCTTGATTTTCAAAGAATTTAATTTAAAATCTGCCATGTAGTTATTCCTAAAACAAGCTACAGTTACACCCAAAAGTTACCAAAGGCCATTTATTGCAGGGAGTCTCAATCCCAAGACAACACTGACTTTAAATAATATAAGCCAATTACCACAATAACTGGTAGTTTTCAGTGCTCACTCCTCAGGCACATCCCCAGTAGTTTAGAAAAACAAAACAGAACTGGAAAGCTCATGGCACAGCTCTTTGTAAACAAACTATCACCATTCCAATTTAAACTTAAACACAGTAATTTACTTACTTTCACAGAAAGGAAGATCTTTATCCCAGTCAACACCTTTATTCTTAACTACACAGGAAATTTCACTAGTTCCAATTAACCTGAACCTAGACAAGAAAGAATCGAAATCTCTTATTTCTCCAACAAGCAGCTAGAAACTTTGTATCGTTGTGTTCTGTGAATATGAGGACATGACACACCCAGTTTTTGTTGTAATGAGAATGGTATTTTAATTATTTTTGTTGTTATGCTGACAGTCTCAGCTTTGGAAACAAAAGAGAAGCAAATGACATCACTACAGGAAGTGATGGAAGTCTCACCATTCTAATACATGTTCCCTCTAATACTAAAGCCCTGAAGTTACTAACACTGAAAAATAAGTTCTTAAAAGCAAAAACAGGGAAAAAAATGTGTAGAAGGTCAGTGCTTTTGACCTAATTTGCTATATACAGACAGATGGGCCATTATTCAAAATGATAATGAAGGGTGACATATATATATTTATTCTGACAGAGAAGCATTTAAAAAGTTATTAAAGGTAACACTAGTTTTCACTCTGCAGATTCTCACTAAAAAGCTTAAGCCTTGGTTGATGTGAACAGCAAGTAAAAGCAGGGAATTAAATAAAAATTAACTGTGATTTTAATTCTGCAGGTGGAATTCAGGAGACATTTTAAGTCAGAACTTAAATGGAACCTGTATAAGAAAGTTTCAGTTTGGTTCAAATCTGGTCTAAACAGAAGAAAGTGAAAAAGGATTCAGTCACTTCACCAAAATACTTACCCTCTTTGGCAAGAAAAAGTAGCTTTTGAACCAAATGTAAGATCTCCTACAGTAATAAAACCATGTTCTAATTCTCCTGGATGATTACATTTTCTCTCTGGGGAAAGGGGGAAAGAGAAGAAAAACAATCTGCATCATTGTAGTCACACACAAGGGCTCAGTCCTTGGCATACACTGCTCCTACAGTCATTAGCATTTTCCAAGCTTTGCTTAAAAAATCACAGAAGACTAATTCCCACTCGAAAAACAATTAACTTGAATAAACGTCGAAGGCAAAAGAGCTCGTGCACACGTTACCCGTGCAGAACCGCTCCGTGGGTGACCACTGCAAGTCTTCCCCGCACGTTCGAGTTGCTGGTTTCCCGAAGATCTTCATGTATCCGGGTCGGCAGACGTAGGACACGGTGCTCCCGACGGGAAAGCCCTGCCCGGGGCTCAGCCCCTCGGGCTCCGCGTCCTGCAGCCTCTCGGGGGGCGAGCACCCGTCTGGGGGGCAAGGGGAAGGCAAAAGCAACGCTGAGGCTGATTCAGAAGGTTTTTAAGAGCTCCTTAGCAAACCGAAGAGCTGACATGCTGCAGAGCCAGAGCTGTCTTTGCGTTTAACCGCGTTCCGGCTCGTTAACCCACGCTTCAGTCTCACCCCCCGCCCGACCCCGCGCTACTACAGGTCGCTGATTCGCTTTCTAACGTTCCTCCTCAGCGTTCTGCCCAGACAACGCGTTTCCTCCCGGCTCACACCCCGCGCCGCTTCCCTTTCTGCCCGCAGTTCATGAAGCACAAGGCCCAACTCCCCGCACCCCCACCCGCCCCTCACTCACCCACCTCCCCGCAGGGAAACCAAGGGCAGCCACTCGGTTCGTTTCCCTTCCCAAGGCCGGGCAGGGATGCAGGGAGCCCCGAAACCGGCCCCACCGGGCAACCCAGACCCGGGGCGTTTTGAGGTGCGGTGAATGCTGAGGACGTGAAACCCCTGAGGGGCCCCGGGGCCTTCCGGGCCTTGTAACGCGGCCCCAAGCGCCAGACCCGCCCGGTTCTCTCACACACGAGGGGCCTTCACCCCTCGGGCAACACCCATCAGAGACACCTTCCCTTCCAGCAAGCCATAACAACC